CCCCAAAACCCCAAAACCCCAAAACCCCAAAACCCCAAACGATAAAGTTATAATTGAATGAGAATTTTCGTGCTTATTTTCCTCTTCGTGGTAGCTTTTGCTGAAAAGTACGCTATTGATTCGAGTTTGAAATGTCATCGGTGAGCTATAACCGAAGGTAAGAAAGTATGTTCGGATGCATTCGATATTGATAAAAACAATTGCTTGGTAGATTCATTTATTAAGATTCATATTATATCACCTAATGATTTTGAACCTAAAGCTATCTTTCTTAAATGATTCTATTAAATAATACTTCAAGAGGATAATAATGATAGTCAAAGGAAATAATCAAGAAAAGACATTTGAGATTCATCAACAATAATAGATAAGGTTACTCACAACATAATAAAATAGAGAAAATGATTTATTTAAGATATACCTTCTTAAGAATATTGGCTGTTCAGTTTTTCTTCTCAGGCTAACCTGATATCCAGAAGTAGGACAACTCTGTGAGTCTATTTTTTAGTATTCAAGAATATGAGAAAATATAAAGGGATAGCAAACTTAGAACTTTGAGTTTTTATATTAGAAAATTATTCTGAGCTTATTTAAAAAATCCGAATTAATATTGAGAATGAAGTAATAAAATTAATCTTTCCCTAAATACTTTTAAATATATTTCACAGTTTTTGTTTTAAAATTTGAAAATAGAGTATTTGTACATTTCAAAACTTATAGATAAAATGAATGAACAGAAAGATTATGAAAATATAATCAAAAAGAAGTGTTTATTTAAGAAATACTCATATCTGAAAGAAGCATAAAAGGTGCACCATAACTACATGGAATTTTCTTGAACAATAAAATTTGAAAACTTGCTCCCAAGTAGTTTAATTTAATTCCCTTTGTTTCAGAAGTAATCTCAACACCATATGAGAATGTATAATTATAAGTATTTTTTGGAATAAAGTCATAAATGTTAGAGAAATGCTAAATTATGGTTATACCTCCATCAAGCTACACAAGAGCCTGGTACAATAAAATTAGAGTGTTTTATATTTGTTTGCTCTGAAGGGTAAAACTTGGATTTTTAGCTAGATTAAAGCACAACCAATGAAATGGTTTTTATTCAAACCTCTTGACTCGCCCTAATATCTTTAAATTCTTTTAGTTCATCCTAACATTTCCTTTCGTTTCGATCGCTTTTGTAAATTTTATTCCTTATTTCAATGAAATGTTTGGTTTTCGGGGTTTTGGGGTTTTGGGGTTTTGGGG